GGTGTTGTGTATATAAGTGACGATGTTTTTTTTCTAATAAACTCAGTCGAGTTACCACCCATCCTGTCGTCTTTGTGCCTTCATTGTCTCTGTTTTGTTCGAGCTTTTTAAATCTTAAAAAAAAAAAAAAAAAATCTATTAGGGAGGCGAATTAACTTTCAGAGGAGCTAATCTCGGTTCCTCATGACGTTGTTTTTATACAAGAGATTAGAGAGTTGTATTGAAACTTAGAAATGTATTCGTTGTTTTTCTTTTTGTGTGTGCGTGAATTTTGAATATGTTAATTACGTTTAACAATCTATGCACCCCCTTGCATAATGCCTAACGTTGCATTGAAGTATAGAAATATATTCTTCATTGTTTTTATTTGTGTGTGTGTCTGTGTATGTGTGTATTTGTGTGTGTGTTTGTGTGCGAATTTCGAATATGTTCATTATGTGTACGCAATTCGTGTACCCCGTTTTGTGTCTGTGCCCCCCTTTTGAGCGTGTACCCCCCCCCCCCCCCCCCCCTAGTGCGCGTGCATGAATTTTGAATATCATAGTATACGTACGCATCGAATTCAAATACTGTAATTTAGATTTTTCTCTTTGACAATGCAAGACTTCGCAGTTGCGCTATATGCAGGCTTGTATGGTATTCTAATTACGAGTAATCAAATTACTTGTAATCAAAAACCTTTTAAAGTTATAATGGTTCAATTAGATGTATTAGGCAGTAATCGCGAGAGTTATCTCATTACTTTTGAAACTACTATAATTACTTGTAACCGCCACTTTTTTTTTTTTCCCTCCCGTTTCTAGAGGCCCCCTCTGTTCATACAGGTCGCCTACCAGGGAATACTCGAATCAAATCTCCGACAGGAGGACGGTTTACCAAAATTGATGGATTCAGAAGATGGCTAGTTTATACACTATAAAAAAAATTTAAAAAAATCCCATGCGTCTACTTTCCCGCACAACACTCGGAGAGCCAATCACCGCAACATACGGAGGCAGCTCAGCGAATGACGATGCCGAAACATATGTTTGGACCAAAAAAACGCAGTCTGAGTTGTGACATTAAGCGATGCAAGTATGACGTTTTGCGTTGCTTAATGCCACAACTCAGACTGCGTTTTTTCGTCTAAACATGTGTTTCGGCATCGTCATTCGCTGAGCTGCCTCCGTAAGTTGCGGCGATTGGCTCTCCGAGTCTTGTGCAAAAAAGTAGACGCACGTTTTTTTTTTTTTTTTTTTTTGTTTTTTTGTTTTCGACCTATATGTAATAAAACTGCACGAAAAGCTTCGAGGTACGTTTACTTTCCTACGCATTTTTCGTCATTCTGCGCAACAGTATTTCTCGATATATATATATATATATATATATATATATATATATATATTCTCGTGCCGTCCAGGCTTTATAACAGTCAGCTGGTACACGGTCGACGCTCACGGGTGCCATCTTTGTAGCGCTTCGAAATCCCCGCGAACTGGCAGAAGAGCACCGACGCAGAGAGCCCAGAGCTTTTATAGTCCTCCCACCGCTTCTGTAGCATAACCGAACTATACAGCGTACGAACATAATAATAATTTTAAAAAAAATGTTTGCAATTGTAATTCAGATTTTACAATTATGCTGAGCCGAAAGTAATTAACTACAGTTACACCTGGTCCGAGGTAAACGATTACATGTACAAATTACCCGGAAAGTGTATAATTGAATTATGTGCCCTTTCGCACCGAGTCGGAGCTCGGCCGATGCCGCGATCCGACGTAGCCAACTAATTAGGTCCAAAAGTGCATTGATTAGGCCAAAAGTTGTATAAACAACTAAACAAACCACGCAAAGGAAAAAAAAAAGGGGGGGGGGGGGGGGGGGAGGGATCGCAGACCATTGCAGGATCGCGGATTATTTACTGAGCGTAATTAGATGAACCCGCGGGTAAGCAACCGTACAAAGACGACGAGCGTCGTGACGATGCACTTTTGGGGACTGCCCGGTTTGCCCACACCAGGTGTGGGCACTGCGCTTGCGCAGAAACCAAATTCGGGAGGAGTGAAGCGTCTGGGCATGCGCACTACCGATAACAGCGCCACCGCACTGGACTGACGCCAGGGGGTGAGTTCAGTTGGTCGGCTGTGCGCGGACTCGGTGTGAAGGGAAGTGTATTACTACGCAACTATGGCACGTGCAATGGGGTGCGTGCATGAAATAGCCACGCTTGCGTCACAAGAAAAAAAAAAAAGGCTGGTTTTTGATCGTTAATGAAGGAAAAAACATAAGATGAGGCCAAAAACGTTTCGAAGAAATACGACTGGCTTTAAATTTGACTCGGTATATATTTGCGTACAAGGACACAGATATATGGATACACAAGGTTCCGGAGAACTGATACGAGGTAAACTAATACTGCAAAACGCGCAACCAGAAAAAAAAAATCAACGTTAATGATGATCATGCGATATCTGTGTTTGGCCTTGCTGTATGGTGTCTCGCCAATACATGGTCGCGCGGAATAAAGTTCCCGAGGCAACGTGCTGTTTCTTAAAAGAATAAACTTTTAGAAAAGGACTTCAAGGAACGCCTTATCATATACACACCAGACAGATCAAGTGGAACACTGTTTGGCTATAAAAACAAAACAAAAAGCGGTCCAAATTTTTCTGAAAATACCCCAAAACGCATGCGAGGATATCTCCATACGCGCTCGCCAAATTTAGGTCTCGCCAGACTTGAATTCCGGTAATCTTTAATCGAACTGTAAACTGACAACGAAAACAAATAAACAAATATAACCTAGGAACAATTATAGCGTATTATCTACATTGTGCGAATATCACTTTTTTCTTTTGTTGGAGATGTATAACGCGCCAACATGCCAACACCTAGAAAAAGGTGCTAGCCTAACTATAGAATAGACACCGACTCAATGTAATCCCAATGGCTACGAAAAGCAGATATAAAAGTTAACGAAAACAAAGTTATGCTTGCTCCGTAGTAATAAGTAGTCGTTCTGCTTACGGCGGCGCCGTAAAAAATCGGCACGAAAACAACAAGAAAAAATTTAACTTTAATACCGTAACGATATCACTTATGCACGAGTTCTGGGTGCGTTTCCACGTGTGTTTTTATTTTTTTTATTTTTTTTTTTTTCTGACTCAAATTGCTAAGAGCTACAACGTATTACTGTCGCAGTTCGAGGGAAAGTGTAGATAAATGAGACGAGATACTAGTAACATAAAAAAAAAAAAAAGTTAAATCACATTGGGAGCAAATTTTTAAACTATAGTTAACAGAAATGTAATAAACACAAATTGGCGGAGCTTGGCGATAATAAACTAGCGACACGTCAAAAATGTTCTTTTTTTTTTCTTTTCTTTTTAGACCCGTATCAAAAGCCGACGGCACACCCGCCTCACACTGGCCGTGATTGCTAAACAGATAACTGAACGCTTGTATTTGGTGAGTGGTCGGGTGAAAGTAATACCCTACAGCGAGAGTTCATTAGCCACGGTGATAAAGAATAGAAAGCGGTATACATCGGCATACCTGCACCAGGTCCCTCAGGCCTCGTCCCTTCAGACACGTCCGAACAAGTCAGGTAAATCCGCTACGGCATCCTCTCAATGAATACGTTTCGTGTCGGTCAGTGACGTCATCTCTCCTGCTCCCTTCCCACACCCAACCTGATATGCTTTATCAGCACTTCCTCGATGCCCTGTATCGCTTCAGCGCTCGTTTGTTTTTCTTCATTAGCGCATGCTTTCATTCGCGGAGCTTATTACGAGCTCGGTATCATGGGTTATACAGTGACGGCTCGTTAATAGAAACCGCTCTGTTTAACTCTGAAATCGCCCATGATGTGAGTCGTCTATGATCACGAGAAATAAATACACGCGTTTGCCCAGTCTGTCCCCTCGAAAACATTTTCTCCGCGTATCGGGGTATTCCTATTAAATGGGGTCCATTGTACTGAGACATGACTGTGTTCAACGAAACCGACACGGAACCGAGTAGAAACAATCACGGTATCGCTTTCAACATGACAAGGAAGCCACCTAGGGGTCCCCTAACCAAGAGATGCAAATGGTGAACAACAATGGTTAACTAAACGGTATTTGCGACCGGACATTACAGTATTAATAAAAGATCGGAGCTGGAAAAACGAAGGTGCACCGGTCGTTCATCTTCACCAAGGTGATTTACGTCGAGATTATGTTTTCGGCTCACGATTGTGAAGAATATCTTACTAATCCTTAGAATGGACGCAACTCGTCAAAATAATTGCCAGAATCTCCGTTTGTGTCTACAGGTGTACGGCGGCTCGTGGGAGCCACGGGCACGAGGCTTTGAACGCCGACTTTCTCTCGCGAGTGCTCTCAGAAACAAAGTATTCGGTCGAAGTATGCCCTCGGGCTTGAGATATTAATTAGAGTATCTCTGTTAGAAGCGTAGAAAATGCGACGTAAAAATTGCCACGAACTATATATAAGCGGTGCCATCAAGTGCAGAAATGGTTCCTTAATATTACTATTATTTCTTAAATTTATTGCAAACGCGCGTATAAGGAAATAAGAACGAATTACGAACAGCCAGTACCGAAATAATTAAAATATATATTGGCGTTAGAAACTCGGTCAGAATCTATTTTTACCAACATAAAATGCATGTTTGCATAAATATTTGTCAATCAACGACACCGGTAGAGTAAATCATTTTAAGCATGCATTACTGACTCTAAACCAAAGAAAGCGAGTCAAAATGACGTTGGGTCTATTTAGAAAAGAAACAAGAAACTCAATGACACGCGCTACATTTCTTCCAAATTAAACAACCCGCGATCGTCCCAGAAAGACGTCCTCGAACGAACACGTGCGCACTCGCTCCGCCTGCTCGCAACGCTCCTGTCAGCATTCCCAAAGTCGCTCTGCGCGCACAAGTTTTCGAGCGGGACATTCGAAGGCTGCCACTCTTTTACTCATCCAGACAGGAATATAATAAGGAAAAGCACTTACAGCCATCTAATTCCGCCCACGGGTCGACAGCAGAGCACGAGTCCGATGGTGACACCGCAAAGCAAGGCAGCAGCAGCCTTGGTGGTGCAAACGCGCATGTTGAGGCGCTCACATGGTGCGCCGTCGTGCGCCCCCCAGAGAGAAATCCTTGCACACTTGCACACTTTCCGGCGAGCTCACGCGGGGAGCGAGCGCTCGAATGCGACGGAGCCGACGGAGCGACCCGTCGCGAGGCCAAGTCCCCACCCGCGCGCGTGTTCCGCAAACACGCCGCACGAGAGGCGCGTGGCGCTGCTATCAGGCCCCTTGGCGTGACGTCATAGGTGCCGCGATTCATATGCTATGGTTGGATGGAATCATCGCTTTGGGATCTTCTTAATATTGTTTTTTAATTGTCCCGTTATACCTAAGATCTTGACCCCGGCATATAGGTATTTAATAGTAACAATTTCGTTGTTTATCCAAGCTAGATGCACGAAAATAATAATAATAATAATAATAATAATAATAATAATAATAATAATAATAATAAGAAGAAGAAGAAGAAGAAGAAGAAGAAAGAAAAACAAAAGAGAGAGAGTCATTAGATGTTTAGACAGCGGGGGTTTAGTCTGCCACGGTTGGGTGACCAACTGTAGATGAGAAATTTAGCTAGTGCTAAATTTCTCATCTGATATGTTTTATTTATTAAAATTAGTGACAGAGGAAAAAAGTGCGCCCTTTTCTGCTTTCACTTATGATGAGCGCACTGGGAGATTATCGCTGAAGTCAGTATTTGCTGAATGGAATAGTGAAGGCAACTCCAGAGTCCAGACGATGAACTGATCAACACTGATTGTAGTGGCATCGCTGAGAAATGCACTGTTCTATGCACTCATATGAAGCGATAGATGCTCTTACGCTTTGAGTAAGGGCTTCCATAGTTCGACGTCACTTTACTTCTTTTTTCTTTCTCTCCCCCCTCCCTCCCCCTCCCTTTTACAAGGAGTTCGGAATCGTTATCGCTCAAAACAATGGGGCCAGCACTTGAGAGAACGCGATGTAGGACGGCACCGGGGTTATCTGGGCGCCTTGGGTGTCTGCATTGTCTTGAGAACCATCTTAAGGTTCGATAATGTGTTTCTTTGTTTTGTTTGGTCCGATTAAGCTGTCGCGATGTCGCCGTCAGTTTCTTTGAACGCTCGCCAGCAGAGCCAGCAGAGTTTAAGACAATTTATTAGAAATACTAACTCTTCCAGTGAGTGTATTTATTAACAAGTAAATGTTTTGAACAGTCGGAAATTGCACTTACATGTGCAATCTGAGGTTTGTTGAGGCGCTTCAACGGAAAGGAAATGCGTCGAAACATTTCGACCAATGTTGGTTTCAGTTTTCAGAACTTGAAAACGAAACACAATTTGACTGTTTATCCCTCGTTGTGTTTATCGTACGTTCAGTGCCTATAATGAAGATATATATTTCATGTAATTTTGCATCATCATTGTTTTTTGGAGCAAAATATTTTAGTTAATGAGAAATATTTATTTTGAAGGTTTTCGGCAGCAGACAACGATGATGATCTTCGATGCTGCGACCACAGCGTCATCGAGTGGCTGACAGTGAAACCGAAAATGCAATGGCGTTCAAGGTGAGCGTACTCCTTCGTGGAGTTTTTGTTTACGTTACGTTTCTGGTGCTTACCGCACCAATTTTTATTAAGTAATTGAGACCAATGCTTACTGGCATTCAAAGAACTCGTATCTTATAATTGCATTTCACGTGGGCTTCTAAAAGCCGCAGATACCTAGTGCGAGCTCATGTGCACCATGAGCCCATCATTCTATCGCGTTGAAAGAACCGTTCTGTTTATTATATGACTTACTCTTTCCTCGCTCTGACGTTTTCGATATAGTACCTGAGAGATTTTCATCTTCTGCTTATTCCGGTTTTTTTGTTTTCTCAGACTGGTGACTCAAAGATACTCTCCCAGCTGCAGTACTCTTTCGAGTGCTGACCCACCCCCTTCCTTGTCGTATTGAATCGTTGTTGCTGATCATTACGCTTGTTAGCTTATTAAAAACAATATGAACTAATCAAACAACTATCGCGCTTTTCAGTTGCGACGGTATAACTTCTTCGACAAGGAAGTCGTCAAGGACCCCGAGACCAATAAAAACTTTGAGAAGCTCGAGGTAAGTTTCTGTCGACCGAGAGTGATAAAACATGTAAACTGGTGACTCAGTGGGAAATGGGTGCGCTTGGTATCAACAGACATCCGATCTATTTGTTCGGAAGAGCGTTTACTACAATTATGTGCTGATCATTCTTGAATCCCCGTCGTTGCTGATATTTCTGATTGAATTGATGGGAGGTGAAGCGATGATTTCAAGCAGCGGTCAGATTGCTTGCTTCTGTCACCCAAAATGATCAGACATCCAAGTCGTGTAATCCTCTGGTTTTTTTTATCTCGAGTGAAGCAACATGTTCAGTTTTCATCATTCATGTACAATTTCACCTCTGACTCAGGGACGTTTTGCTTGATTTGTGGACCAAAGACTGGCTTAATTTGCTGAAGAAGCAATGCCCAGATATGTTTTCCAATAAGTATTTTTAGATCAACCGGATAAAAAATAAGCTACGAAAATGAGACTTTGAGGCTGTTTTCAAGAAATAAAAAGCTTGAGAGTTGTTCCAGCAAAGCTTCGACCTTATTCAGCTTGATCTTTTTAATGGGATCCAAATGCCTGCTACATGGTGCCTAAATTACATCGCATCCATGATATGTAGCGGAATATGAGGAACGGTAACTTGTGCCAGTACTAATGAAAGGCATTGGCACAAGTGAACAGCTAGCTAGCATTTCATCTGCTCGAAACCTTGTACAAAAAGGGTACTGGACAAAGCTAAGCACTCGATACACTATCTTTCACGGTGTTCTGGGTAATGCAAAAGGTGTAGATTTTCCGGTGTTTATTGATAAGGGAAAACGGTAGATTTGTTTGGAATTTGTTTATTTTTCAAATATCCGTGTACTACTGTGATCTGTTTGGACGGACCCGGGAAACTGTGATAATCAGTGAGAAAGTCCTATGAAAAATCAAATATCAGCTCTAAAACGGGAGAGTTTCAACAAAAAAAGTCCTAGTTGTAACAAAAATTTTTGGAAATCGGTGTTTTTCGGCATTAGCCGATTTTTGCACTTTTGACACCAACGGATGTTAATTAGCATTTTTCAGTTGAAAGTGGAAAGCCTATGGCCTGTTATGCATGAAACAGAGAATGTTATGCAATCATCCTTGTTTAAATGGAATTTGAACCCTCCTATCCTGAAGCCAAGAAAGGTACTGTCACATGAAGCAATGGCCAATATGCAACGTAGCAGTGCACCTAGTGGTTTGAGTGCACTCTGGGTGTAGGAGACTGTCAGCGGGTAGTTTCGGTTTCACCGGATTTCTGTATCTGTCATCTGCTGTTGTCTCTGCACCGCCATTGCTCACGTCGTCGTGGATTGCTCCACACTTATGCACGATGCAGTAAGTACCCTTATCTTCTCGTCGCTACATATGAAACACAGGAATAACAAAGCAATTACGATTTTGCTGGCACGGGGAGCAAGCAAAACTGCCGCAATGGTAAAGTAAAGTAAACAGATTGATGTGCGCTGAACGCTATGCCAGCTCACTACGTGCATTTGTTTGCAACCTACTGAGACTAGTACTCCAGTTTTATAACACCCTTGCTTCGCCAATCTCTATTTTCAATCAGGCTAACGTGGCACATGACGAACCTCACTGTACGTGAATGCATTACAACGCAAACATGCACCTTTTACTAAGTCGCTGTGAGGAAATTGGCCATGGGAATTATCAAAACACAGTCGTGGTGTTGGTGTGCCCATAGCGATCGGCAAATCAAGGGTATTATAAAACCGGAATACTAGTCTCTGGCTGCTCTCATGGTTGCAAACAAATGCACGCAGTGAGCTGGCATGGTGTTCTGTGTACATCGATCTGCATTCACTTGACTTCGGCATTGTGCCGTTTTTACTGGTTCCCCGTCTCTGTGTCAGCAGAATCCTAATTGTTTCTTTATTCGCTGTCTCTGATATGTAGCGACGAGAAGAAAAATGTACTTACTGCATCGCACTTAAGTGTAGAGCAATCCTTGACGACGTGAGCAATGGCAGTGCAGAGGTGATAGAATACGACAGATCCATGACTCGACGAAACCGAAACCACCTATTGACAGTCTCCTGCTCCCAGAGTGCACCTTAACCACTAGAGGTGCTGCTATTTTGCATATTGCCCATCATTAGTTTTCCTCATTACCATTGTAAGAGCCTTTCTGTTTGTAGTAGGTGATAAAGCAGTCAACTTAAATCTCACAGTTTATTTAGTTAGTAATTGTTGTGTGCAAGCATTTGCCTACAACAATAAGCAGAATTGTTCCCCACTGGCCAAATTGTCCATCTCTAGTGGAGATGAGAGTTCCCAGGTTTAAAGGCCGACGACCAGTTCGCGCTTTCCACTTTTCACTCGCTTCCTCCTCTCCCCCTTCTGCCCTGTCTACCGTTGCTTGTTTCCTCCTCTCCCATAACGAGGAGGATCTTCTGCCTTGCAGAATCTCGAGTCTGGTCGTCGGCCTTTAAATACAAACAAAAATCCTCCATATGAACAGCATTCACACAACCAATTTTGCGCTTCAGGCGCTGTTCATAACGAAAATTTGTTTTGTATGCTTTCCTTCTACTATCATGTCTCGTTAAAATGGACACCCCCATTCCCCTAAGAAGTGGTCTATGAAGTGAGTGGTTTATAAGATTGAGACAAAAATGCACATATTTCCTTAGTTCATTCACAAAATCCTTTTTATGTAGCAGGGTATTCATATTAATGGGATCCATAAATTAATGCGACATGACTGTACAACTCCTGACTGTGCCTTTTTGTGCACTAGAACTTCTAGAATCCTACTGTTTAAAGGTGGCAGTTACTTTGAAGGACACACTGTTTTTCGCTTGCACCTTAAATATTTTGTAGCAATTCCTCCGCCGGTTGTGTGCGCTGTGTGCAGTGCTTTGAGTCGGTCACGTGACTGTGCAGGACGTGAGCGTGACATGCAGCTCGAGCGGGCGTGGGCAGCTGGTGCTCGGGGATGTGGAGGGCCACGTGATCTACATCAACCGGCAGCTGCAGATGTCCGGCTTCAAGGCCTACGTACTCACCATCGAGTTTCTGCAGCAGATGCGAGAGAACTCCCTCCTAGTCACCGTTGGAGTGAGCTTGTCATGTCTTTTTTCTCTTTGGTATTGTTCAGCAATGTAGGCAGAGGAGGGGTTCCGGGATTGAAACATTTCCTCAGAATGATCCAGCCCCTTCACCTCAACCACTCTTCACGCCTAGCTCCCCCCCTCCCCCCCAAATGATTCCTAAATTTACCACAGGTATATTTTCCTTTTAGTTTTTTTTTTCTAGGGTTTGGAAAGGAAGTCCTCACTGTAAAATTGCCAGCAGAAAACTGGTGTTTGAAGGTGGAACGTTGCAGTTTCCCTCAAAATTGTATTTTGCTAGTTACGATAGATTATGATCCAGCCTTAGAAGACTACTTCGCTCCTAAGAAAGCATGTCTTTGATGCAGAGAGCTTGTTGGCAGATTTTGAGTCATATTGCAAAAGTTCAAAATTGAAATGGTGAAAATTTGGTCCCAAAATCACCCCTATAAACTGAAAATTCCGCTAGTTATATTTTCAGTTTGTTGCCAACGAAATGTCTCAACGTCGGTGATTGAGAACCATGTAACGCTTTTTGTCTGCCACTGGCAGTGTGGAGAGCACACTGCTAGCACACAGACAAGGTAGAGAAGATATCATGGTAAAAAAGCTCACAGGTTCCGGCAATTTTATATGCTACATTTGCAAGATGTCGAGCTTAAATTTCATTAATGGCTTTGTCACGTTTTCCAACACCTGAATAACAGTTTTGAGTGAAAACCAAGGAACAAGTTAGTTTTGGACTGGAGCGGTTCCTTTAAGGGGAAGTTGAAGTACTTTCTGCCTCCGGTTACCTGCGAAGCTGCAATGATGTAGACAACATGAGCTTTTCTTTTTTTTTTTTTTTAAGAAATTTGGAGGTGTTTTAGGTTGCATGTGTGTAACAGTTTGTTAGGACATTCCATCATATATGTATTTTACAACAATTGCAAACACACTTTGCCACTGACTTAGAAGCATAAACACTCAGAACAAGGAAGTGTTAATGACGAGGCACCAGCTGTCTCCTGGCTTTTTTTTAATCTTCATATGGCGATGCTCGGTGGCAGTGCCTAGGGCAATAAGACAGATTGGTGTCATGGGGAAGTAGGCAGTGGCTCAGATGAGTTGTTGTTTTTGGCTCCAGATAACCTTTCAACTTGGAGAGAGAAATACACCCTTTGCAAAAATCACAAAAGCCCGCGCGCGCCACGTGGCAAATTATGGGAGTCCTCGGTATGCCCCTCCTATCACTTTTCCTCCCGCTCCCACGTGACATACGCAAGCAGGCACAGGTTTACCAAGGCAACAACTTTGAGCAGCCGAGTCGGACGAGCGCACGGAAATGAGGGAGAGGGTATGGCGTTGGCTAGCTTGCGAGGCTTCCCCTTTCTCATCCCTCTCCTTTGTACCGGCTCCGTCGTCTACTACACCAAAGCTTTGTCGAGCCTAGTCGAACCCTGCCACGGTTGCGGTGCAAAATAGGTGGATTTGGTGACACTGCAAGACGTGAACGTCTGTCGAGTTCTGTCCAACGGCGCAACGCAGACAAGAGTTGGCCTGGGTACTACATACAGCACAGATACGGTATGCCGCCAACGACATACAACATGCCGGCGGATGGCTGCAATGCCCCATTGGCCGCTGGTGGTAGCTGCTGCCACTCATGCACAGTCATGGAGACGCAATGAGAATGTGCATGATTTGTGCCGAGGGCTCTGAAAATCCCCCGTTGTCGTGGCGTCGTACATATTGCAACAGATCTATCATCGGGCAATCAAGACGTTGTTGTCATCTCTCGCATTGCCCGCCAAGGTGCACAACACGTCGTTCCTCTCTTTACCTCTTCAAGAAGCATTGTAGACCGACTAAGTTGAGCGGTGCAAATAGGCGCGCGGTTGACCGGCACATCGCCAGCGATCGATGAGCAGGAGAGTGAAAGTTGAACAATATTTTCAGTCTAAAGTCACCCAAAGAGGTAAGGAGTGCACCATTTTGCCGTCTACATCATCAGCTCGGTCAGAGGTTTAGAATCCGGCTTCTAGAAGTCATTTTTTTTCCCTGCAAATACAGGTCATTCTCAAGCTTAAAATTTTTAAAATTATGCTTAGGGATGAGTTTTAGTTGTTTGTAGCAACAAAAAATACATTTATGTTAGGGTTATCAGTGGCCTTTTAAGAAGGGAATATTTTACAGTTGCACTCAAAAAGTAGGCATCAGGGATGATATACCAAGGGCTCCCATGACTGAATTGAGCATATTGTTGTTTTTCTTAGGCTGATGAAAAAGGAATCAATCCCCTGATCAAAGTTTGGAACCAAGAGAAGGTAAGAAAACATTCTATACTACTTTGAACAAAGGTGTCTATTGGCTAAACGAGAATGAAGGGGGCACAGGCCAATAGTATTACCGTAGTCATATATACAAAGCAATTTTATCCTAGTTTTAGCCAAATTTTTTGTGGTAATGAGGCAGAAATAGTTTATGCATCGAAACCTTATTTAGTCCTTGTCTAGTTCCACTTTTGAGACTGCATTAGGTTTTCTAAATTGATTCTAGGTATTTATTGATCGATTAAACATTAACAAACATCTTTTTATATCTTTTTTTTTTTTTTTCAGGCAGACAAGCAAGGCATTCCACTGTGTGTCAGGATTGTGCGTGCTGTCGCGGGTATCAATGTATCTCCCGTAAGTATATCAAACCCCCTGAAACTTACTTTTGTCGCTTTTTTAAACAAATTGTTACTTGTTGAAATTTCCTACCATAGTACTACGGTATATATTATCATCAGTATCATCAGTGTCCCATGTTTTAATTTTAGTCTGATCATCGTGCTGCTTTCGATGCAGGTCAAGTCCCTCGCAGTACATGAGAACCTCAACTTGATGGCAGTTGGCTTTGACGACGGAAATGTGCTTCTGTTTCGTGGGGACATTACGCGGGACAGGTGGGCTTTTAAGCGCTTGTTTTCATTCAAAATTGTTACTTAGAAACAAAAAAAAAATGAAAAGGGTATTTTATTCAGCTGGAAAAGTGCTGGATAGAACCAGTATTCTGTTTGTATTTGATCCTCTTCTAGGGATCACTCTTTGAACATAGTTGTGGGTTCATTGTGAGTGGAACTATTTGTAGGGTTGTGCAAATACCCTAAATTTTGAATAGTAGTTTCAATAATATGCATTCGATATCTACTTCAAGGAGAACTGCACTGTCTGCGTCTTTCGAATTGTTGATTGCGGCGAATTAGCCCCGTTGAGCTTGCTTCTTACCAAGCTCCGATGCACTGCGGAGAAGCAATACCTGTGGAGGCGAGCTCTGTGGATGAAAAAAGGGGACGATGGACGAAAAAAGGGGGCAGCACACAGTAAGCCTCCCTTTTTTCATCCGTCGTCTCCGGTTTCAAATGTCTGTGACTTAAACAAGCTTTCCTGTTCGCTAACGATTGCCTCAAATCATGTCCCACCCTCTTTGCAGACTCCCCTAGTATAGACGGCTGCATTTGTAAGACATGTTAAGCTCCTAAAGTTCTTTTTCACACCCAAAAATGGGCTTTAAGCTACTCCGAAAGGTGCTCCCAAATGATTCCGCCCAATCACATCACCAAATGTTGCAAAAACGAGTGTGCACGAAAAAAAGAAAAATATTTCATTTTGTGCAATACTTGGGTCACTAGACTCATTTCGAGTACTCGGACACGCTTCTGTTTGGTGCTTCTTTTTCGGTACGATATGCCAAAATAGAAGCGTGCTTTGGAATCACTCTTCACGGGCCTTTAAAATGCAACTTCAGTCAAATTTTGGTGTTGAGAAAACAATGCAGTCATACTTTGTATCATCTGAAAAGCGTACATGCAAAATATCACATGTAGGCTTTCCAGCTTCGTTGGCTGAAAGGTTGATTAAACCGGCCAACGAAGTCGGAGCAACTTCACGGGCACCAAAATCCACCCAATCTAGTGGGCGACGCTCGACCTGCGGAGCAGCGCAGTCGACGCCACTGTGTGGACATGGCCAACACCGTGCGGAAGAACAACAACTGGAAGGGTTGTTTTGTCTGTCTCTTACTTTTCGAAGCAAGGTCGAGAGAGAGACGACAGAGTGTGGAGTGTGACTGTGCTGGGTCGACATTGCCGTAACACCGTCCGCCGCTTTCGTTGATGACATAGCCGACGTCTCCGTACCACGTAATATCCAGTAGTTGATGAGCAGGACCAATGTTGCCTGCCACGGGCAAGGTTTTGGTTTCGCTTTGTGATTTTCATTTAAATGAGGTGTGCAAGAAAACTATCTAACTTTTTGGAAGACGAGTGGCATAGAACCGTTTATTAGTAGTTTTGACGTGATAATCACCTGTAATCCCAGGATTTTCGGAATTGGCTGGAGTTGCCCTTTAAGGTACAATTAATTAAAGTAATTGAAATGAAAAATGAGTTCCACTGCATAGATATTCTACTAGAAATATATTTTTTCTAGAGAGTTCATTATGTCACATATGTCTGCAATCCGTGCACTTAAAGACCGACCAACGAAACCATTTTCCGCAAGGTAGGAAAATGCCCCTCGCGCCCTCCTCTTTTCACCCTCTCCCAAAAATCACGTGACGGCAGAGGCTTCTTTTGTGTCGGCTTTTTCTGTAGGGATAATCCTCAAAAAGCGCGAAACGAGCGGCTAGCTGCGAGCGCCACAACGACCTTGAGACGTCCAGGTGTCTTCCCTCGTTGACGCGGGCACGCGCAATCCGCAGGATTGAGGAAGCCAGCGCGACCCAACTCCTTTTCCCATGAGCTGCAGGTCCGAGGCCGCTCGGTCGGTGGAGATCGAGGGGTCGTGGTATGCTGGGTTCGTTCCAGCAGCCGCTTTCTGGCATCGCGCGGCTGCTGGAACCATTCTCGCGTCTGCACACGAATTGGCTTGCACAATAAAGGGTTCAGGTCGTCGATAATACATTTATTTCCGAAACTTATAAATCAAGTGGCTTTCCCTAATCTCTTCATTACTGTTTGAAACACATCTCCTCTCATAGGTAATTGTTCATCCCATTTTGGACTCTTTTGCGTATTTATTCCTCCTTACGTCTGCTTGATGACTGTTTTATAACTTGATAAAGACCTTTAAATATTGGCGCGGGCTTGCGCGATCAACGCTGTCCCGGATTTATTCAAAATTGGAAAGATTGGCGTCAGGAGGGGTTGAAGAAGCAAACCGTAATTTTTGCTTCTAATGAGGACGGCACAATCGTAAGATAGGTCTTTGCTTCACCTGTATCCACAACGCTCCATCGTTTGCACGATCATAATTTCTCAGTGACATACGTGTATACCACCTTTAGTCATGGTTACTATAGATGGGGCCCCACAGGCTTTCCCGTTATCAGCGAGTCGACTTTTTAACGACCGGCGACTCTCCTGAGTGAGAATAAATATTATCACCTTCAAACAACATCCACCCCTTTCTCCCCCCCTTTCCCGAGTTGGGGAAATATCAGGCAACTCCGGGAAGCAGCCTGCAGACTGCGCTTTTCGGCTACTCATTCTCAACACATTCGAACGTGGAAGTAAACACATCACATCAACGACGCCCTGTTTATTTGCAACCTAAATAATGTGGCTCTTCTGTTGGGACCCAATCGATTTCATCATCAATCATTATTTGTTACAACTTCATGGTGAATGTGTGTTCGTAGTGATGCCACAAAGTGGTCGATTCAAAGGGAGAAATAGGTCCTCGTATTTATTTTGCGGAAATACTCGCTCCTGTGACGCTCTAGTGCGTAAGGTCAAAGCACCCGAGGCAGTGCGTAATACTTTAAAACTGTCGTTGATGATGAAATATTTGTGGGAAGCGCGTAAAATTGTTTACACCAGACATACCTAAACACTACAAAATATCGCAATTGCAAAAAAAATACAGAAAAAAATCAGCTTGCGAAAACCGTTGTTTTCCTCTCTCTCTATTTCTTTTTTTTTTCGCGCCACTACAAAAAAAAAAAAAAAAGAAAGCGGCCGAGCAACGAAATTTTATCAAAACCTCGCTTCTTGGAGAAAGGACACCAGGATATACGGTAGTGAATCTGCCAGGGAGTTTGTAGAAATAATGGGCGACCATTGAATCTAGCCTTCTGCACGAATCATGCCCGCGATATTTCCATTTTCCTTCCACGCGATTAGAAGGCAAGAAGCTGGGAGAATTCATGTGCACTAACATTCTGCTTCTAAAAGAAAGTACCAGATTTCTAGCGCATGTCATTTTAGATGTAAATAGTTTAATCACTGTGCACAAACATTCAAGGCCTGGAGGATGACATGGAAGCATGGCGGAAAGCAGCTTGCTGAAAATAGAAGTCTGTATTGCATTGCACTGGTGTGAAAAAGTATTACGTATTTTTGTCTTATTTCCGTGCCAAAATAAAAACAGCATTTAGAAACCGAACACTGTGCGTTTTGAGGAGCGCCGAAAGGACATTAAAAACCGGGACAACCAGAGCTTGTCCTGGTTCCTTGTTTGTTCGGAGCCTTTCAAAAGGGGATGAAAAATTATGAACCGAGTGACCCGACTTACCACATTAGAGCAGTTCATTTCCATTGCGACAGGCTGCCTTCAAGCGTCTAGCATAGTCCAGCTTGTACTGGTCCGTTTTTACTTTCGGTTCCTTTCAAAACGTGAGCTCTAAGCCACTGGACCAAACTACCACATTCATAATCTGCGGAAGCGGAGAAGCGGAAATGCAACAAAATGAATGGTTCGCCCACGACCAGATAGAAGGGGGCCGAAATTTCTTTCAAGAAACACACAATCTTCTCTTCAATTCTGTCTAACAATTTTATGTGAAGGTGTACTTGGTTATGGCATTATTCGTTTAGGAATCAAGCGAAACTTTGTATCGGATCATTAGATGTCTACGTTCACTCCCATTCGATGCTTATCATGTTCTCGACTATGTACACGGGGTGGTTTTCAGCGGTAGGTTTTTAATCTGATTGCCCGCCAGAGCGCGAGCCAGAACGCACTACGGCCGCGGGCCGTCGCGCTCTTCTCCTTCTTCTCCGTATCAATATACAATCAAAGATGCAGGCGGGGTCGTCAATCGTGCTGGTGTCGGGAACCAGTAATTCTGACCCTTGAAATGCAGGCGTGACGCCTGCATTTCAAGGCTCCGCCGCCTACGTTCCTCCCAGGCGGCGGAGATTGTCGTTTAGAGGGGATTATATTCTGAACGGATCCAAGTTACTCGAGCAAGCTCGCATTCTGCTCGCAAAGCCCAGCCACTAAGCAAATGTAACGGACGGTGGTTCGAGAGGCGTGCAACCCTTGCCCGCTTAGCCCTTCCAACCACTTCTCCGCTTCCGTAAATTTTGAATGTTGTAGGTTGGTCCAGTGGCTTAGAGATCACTTTTTGATAGGAACCGAAAATAAAAACGGACCAGTACAAGCTCAACTATGCAAGATGCTTGAAGAGAGCCTGTCGTAATTAAAATGAACTGCTCTAATGTGGCAAGTCGGGTTAATCTGTTTATAATTGTTCATCCCCTTTTAAAAGGCTCCGGAAAAACAAGAAACCAGGAAAAGCTGAGTGACGCAAGGCGCCTCGTATTGTTCAGATTGTCCCGGTTTTTTATATCCTTTCGGCGCTCCTCAAAACTCAGTGTTCGGTTTCTAAACGCTGTTTTTATTTTCGCACAGAAATAAAACAAAAATACGTAATAATGTTTCACACCAGTGCAGTGCAATAGAGACTTTTATTTCCAGCAAGCCGCTTTCCGCCATGCTTCCATGTCATCCTCCAGGCCGCGAATGTTTGTGCACACTGATTAAACAATTTACATGTAGATTGACATGCACTAGAAATCTGGTACTTTCTTTTAGAGGCAGCATGTAAGTGCACATAAATTCCCCCAGCGTCTTGCCTTCTAATCGCGTGGAAGGAAAATGGAAATACTCGCAGATTCACAACAGTGTATCCTGGTGTCCTTTCTCCAAGAAGCGAGGTTTTGATACAATTTCGTTGCTCGGCCGCTATTTTTTTGTAGTGGCGCGAAAAAAGAAGAGAGAGAGAGGGGGGGGGGGGAGGGAGAAAGCAACGGTTTTCGCACGCTGATCGTTTTTGTTTTGTTATTTTTGTATTTTTTTGCAATTTCGTTATTTTGTAGTGTTTAGGTATGTCTTCGTGGTGTAAACAATTTTACACGCTTCCCACAAATATTTCATCATCAACGACAGTTTTAAAGTATTACGCACTGCCTCGGGTGCTTTGACCTTACGCACTAGAGCGTCACAGGAGCGAGTATTTCCGCAAAATAAATACGAGGACCTATTTCTCCCTTTGAATCAACCACTGTGGCATCACTACGAACACACATTCACCATGAAGTTGTAACAAATAATGATTGATGATGAAATCGATTGGGTCCCAACAGAGAGAGCCACATTATTTAGGTTGCAAATAAACAGGACGTCGTTGATGTGATGTGTTTACTTCCACGTTCGAATGTGTTGAGAATGAGTAGCCGAAAAGCGCAGTCTGCAGGCTGCTTCCCGGAGTTGCCTGATATTTCCCCAACTCGGGAAAGGGGGGGAGAAAGGGGTGGATGTTGTTTGAAGGTGATAATATTTATTCTCACTCAGGAGAGTTGCCGGTCGTTAAAAAGTCGACTCGCTGATAACGGGAAAGCCTGTGGGGCCCCATCTATAGTAACCATGACTAAAGGTGGTATACACGTATGTCACTGAGAAATTATGATCGTGCAAACGATGGAGCGTTGTGGATACAGGTGAAGCAAAGACCTATCTTACGATTGTGCCGTCCTCATTAGAAGCAAAAATTACGGTTTGCTTCTTCAACCCCTCCTGACGCCAATCTTTCCAATTTTGAATAAATCCGGGACAGCGTTGATCGCGCAAGCCCGCGCCAATATTTAAAGGTCTTTATCAAGTTATAAAACAGTCATCAAGCAGACGTAAGGAGGAATAAATACGCAAAAGAGTCCAAAATGGGATGAACAATTACCTATGAGAGGAGATGTGTTTCAAACAGTAATGAAGAGATTAGGGAAAGCCACTTGATTTATAAGTTTCGGAAATAAATGTATTATCGACGACCTGAACCCTTTATTGTGCAAGCCAATCCGTGTGCAGACGCGAGAATGGTTCCAGCAGCCGCGCGATGCCAGAAAGCGGCTGCTGGAACGAACCCAGCATACCACGACCCCTCGATCTCCACCGACCGAGCGGCCTCGGACCTGCAGCTCATGGGAAAAGGAGTTGGGTCGCGCTGGCTTCCTCAATCCTGCGGATTGCGCGTGCCCGCGTCAACGAGGGAAGACACCTGGACGTCTCAAGGTCGTTGTGGCGCTCGCAGCTAGCCGCTCGTTTCGCGCTTTTTGAGGATTATCCCTACAGAAAAAGCCGACACAAAAGAAGCCTCTGCCGTCACGTGATTTTTGGGAGAGGGTGAAAAGAGGAGGGCGCGAGGGGCATTTTCCTACCTTGCGGAAAATGGTTTCGTTGGTCGGTCTTTAAAAGAATTGTGGGGGGGGGGGGGGGGGGGGGGTTCAGCATCTCTAAAAGTTATTTCAAAACATGTTTCTACTTTGGGTCGACATGCCAAAATACTATCAGAATCTCTCTCAACTCAAAGGGCACCTCACAAAAATAAATATTAGGCTAAAATATTTTGAAGGGGGGGAAGCTGCATTTTGTGCCATATGTGTCCAATTCAGCAACTTAACAAAACAAGATTTTTGGGACTTTAGTGTCCCTTTAAGTGCTGATTTGAGGCATTATAGAGGCCCTGTTCGAATCGCCAAATAGCGACAGTATCAGACCCAACCGCGAGGTTATTTATAGGGAAGCGATACCACCGACATTTCGTGCTCCTTTCTGAACTGCACGCAGGCAGAGCAAGCAGACAGTGCTGCGTGTGGGAACGAGCCCGGTGAATGCACTGGCCTTCCTCACGGTGAACAGGCCCAACCAGCAGAACAGTCACCTGTTCGCAGGCACCGCCAGCCAGGTCGTCTCCGTCAACCTCGCCGTCAGAGACAAGGAAACCATGGTGACGTTTGCTCTTCCTCGCTTTACTTCGTCTGCTGTAGCCTGGCAAACGGCACAGGCTACAGCCCCGGCAAGCCAACCCGCGCATCAGAGGGAAACACGTGACTGCCCTAATTACCAGAGAGATAGCCCACCTAAAATCGAAAGCAATGTGGTGAACATTGACTTAAAATGAAAGAAACACGTGAGGACGAAACAGACGATACAGCTTTCAGCAGTCGAAAGCTGTGTTGTCTGTTTCGTCTTCTTGTGTGTTTCTTTCGTTTTAAGTCAATGTAGATCACCAACATGCTCAAGTCTTTAATCTGGTGAAAATGAGGAGTAAGCTAACTTTCAGTGTGCGCTAAAAAAAAGTTTAAGAAATGCTAGTTTTATGTTTTGTGACCTGCGAAACTTGTAATCGCACGAAGTGGCAATGAACCAAAGGCTTCTGTCCTTCCCAGTCAGCAGTGTTTGCTCATCTCCCGCTGCGGCTGAGTAGCACCATTTCTGCCAATGTCACGATTCGCCAGGGCCTTGCAATTACCAGAAGTGGGCTATCTTCTGGTGGGTTTGGAAAAATAGCAAATAATGCCAAAAATAGGGGTTGTGTTATCTTTCGGGGGTGCAGCGTCTTTCTGGGGGTATTGCTGTGTGCTTTATCTCGGAGGTCTCCAAACGTCTCTGCTAAGGGACCGGACTAGATATCTGTCGCGGTCTCGAGGACCTGAGAAGAAAATAAGACAATGTAAACGAGAAAATAAGGAAACCTAAAAGAGTATTTAAATACAATAATTTAAACTTGAGCAAAAATTAAAGAAATGTAAGGTGGACGAATAGCGATACTATGCTTCTGAATTTAATATGTTGCTAATTATGACTTTACAAGATTATTGCGATACAGGAAACTTACCACGCGTAAATCAAAGTGCATAGAAACTTTGAAATGTTCACATGAGCCAGAAGATTTGTGAGGATGGTAGATATGCTAATATGCAGTAGCTTTGACGCAGGACACAAAGCACACTATACATGAGAACGCAAGGGAATTTGAACGTAGTAGTTACACAGGCACGAACAGTGGACTACAAATGGTAATGTTGGGGATGACGACATGCAACAAATAATATGGCGAGAGAGCCCGCGTTTTGATGCAGTTTTTTCTCAATATTTCCGATGTCTTTTTTACTGTTTTGGTGGGAGTCACAGCACTGTTTGTTTTACAAGCGCTTATTTTTTGGCGTTGGTAACAGTGAGTCGGGCATCGCCGGAAAGACGGCGGCCATTTTCGGGCCAAGGATTGGAGACCCCTGCTGTGGCTCACTGGTTGCGCACAGTGTTGTTGAAGCCATGGGCAGGAGAAAGAGAGGAGAGCCACTTTTGCACGAATTTTGAGCGACAGGCTAACCTCCGAGGGGGACAAAAGCCGCCTCTCGGACCCCCAAAAGGGGGTAGTTCCTCCTTCCCCTTTTCTCCAACTGCTTGGGTTACACTCTCACCCCTGCACCTTTCGTAGGGGCAGCCACGTGCTTCACCTCCGTTGCTCCGATTGGCTCGAGGGAACCATTGCATTTGCTCTTTGCCAAGTTTTGGTAAAACCAAGCATGGTAATGCTGGGTAAAGTACTATCGCAAACAGTATGAGTGGGAACGTTGGAGCGCACGGCCTTCGATGCATGCTGCACTATCTCGAGACAGATATAACAGCACTGTGGGCCTGCCAGGGTGTGCACATCGGAGTAAGCGCACAAACTCTCAACCCCCTTTCAACTCCACAGCTTTATCAGCTTCAAGGTAGCACAGCATGTATTGAAGGCCACGCTTTATGGCATTCCCACTTGTACTGTTCGCGATAGTATAAAGAGTACTATAAGGGAAGTGTGAGGTCATTTTTATACTTTGGGTGGGAGTCCGAAGCACACTGAGTGCATTCTAGTACTTCATGTTAACACCCTTAGACACAATGTACTTCAAAAGTAAAGTGTAAGTGCTTTTACAAGGCAGCCTTTCTTGGTATACAACATATCTTTCATCAAACAAAAGTGTGTTCAATAATATTAGCTTCATTACGCTGTGAGGAAGCAAACGAAACACCTCATAGTTTTGTTTGAGAAGCAATCTTGTGACGGTCAGTCAAGCATTTCTACCCATAGCTTCAACATTTATTTTGGGTCAGAATTTCAAAAACGTTATTGGAAGTGTTAGGCTGTGATTGTGGAATCAAACTCCTCGAAAGACGGTGCCATGCTTATGAGTTGTGGGGTCGTCGCCTACGGAGCCTCGTGCCTGCAGTGTTCTCCGTTCATGTTGTTTTCCTTATCTCTTTCTCACGGCATGGCAGCAAGTGCTGGACTCGCACGGCTGTTCCCCTCAGTGTGCCACCATGAGTGTGGTGAGCGACCCCAAGAAAGAGGACAGCCAGTTCATTGTAGGGAGGCAAGAGGTGAGTGGTTGTTTTAATTCTGACTTTCCTTAAATTTTTGTTTTTTTGTGTAACAAGCGATTTTTATCTTGCGCAAGTCTGGGTGTGTAGAGGATTTTGTTTGTGAGGAAAGAGGCTCACTTTAGAACTAGAGTTGAGCATGCTGCACTTCCTTCTTTGGTTCCTCCAGGCGGTGTACTTCTACCACCCGGAGGGCCGGGGTTCCTGCTTGGCCTTTGAGGAGGAGAAGGTGATCCTGCGCTGGTTCCGCAACTACCTCGTCCTGGTCTGCAAGGATGCCAAGGCCCCAGTTGCCGCCGGCGCAGCGTCAGTCACTCCCGCTCTCACTATCCTTTCGATCACTTCTCACTCAGCTGCCTGTATCTAGGATTGAATGTGTTTTAAGGCTGAGTTCTAAGCCTAAGGCATCGTAGAACACTGTAACAAAAATATAGCACAACCAGTTGTCTTGACAAAAGACTGCTTTCCCCAGCAGGAATCAAACTTCCGACCTCTCACAACCGGTTGTCTTTACAAAAGACTGCTTCTCCCAGCAGGAATCAAACTTACGACCTCTCACAACCAGTTGTCTTTACAAAAGACTGCTTCCCCCAGCAGGAATCAAACTTTTGACCTCTCACAACCAGTTGTCTTTACAAAAGACTGCTTCCCCCAGCAGGAATCAAACTTCCGACCTGTCACAACCAGTTGTCTTTACAAAAGACTGCTTCCCCCAGCAGGAATCAAACTTTTGACCTCTCACAACCAGTTGTCTTTACAAAAGACTGCTTCCCCCAGCAGGAATCAAACCTCCGACCTCCCACAACCAGTTGTCTTTACAAAAGATTGCTTCCCCCAGCAGGAATCAAACTACCGACCTCTCACTCGTTCATCCGACACCCTTTCCCCTGCGTTACCTGAGTGGCTTTGGTTAGCATGTTAGTCGGTAAATAATGTACTAAGTTACCGCAGAAACTTTGTTGCCTTAATGGTGGGAGAAGCTCGAAACACACTGCACATTCTTTGTTTCCCAACTACCTATATTGGTGGGATTAAGACGCACTTAAAGTTCTTTCTGACGTCTTCTCGCTTACCACCTATAAACGCAGTTCAATTTCATTCTTGTCTTCGTCCTCTGCTTGGTAGTTTTTGAGTAAAAGCAATACCACCTGCTGGAAGTGCACCTGGAGTAGGGATGTGAAGGATTCGGGCTCAACTCAATTTCTCCTGAGTTTTAAGGAACAGCATGTAATTAGGCATATGTCTACAGCTAATCAGCTTTATTTTAAGAGCTTGACTTTTGCCCTTGATATTAGTAGGTATGAAATCTTTAAGCATTTCACTATGTTCCTATTTTGTATGTATGGTGATTGGAGAAGCATGTATAAAAAAATGTTATAGCTCAATTTTTTTTTGGCTCATGTAATTTTTTTGTTATAGAGATCCACTGAATTGGTGTAGTTTTAACAAGACTGTAGAACGACTCCGGTTGTTACAAAATATTTTAAATGCATGGACAAGAGAAACTTCACAAAGACTTCACAACATGGCATTCATAGTCATGGCTTAAAGAAACTGGAATTCGTGACTACCGCTTTTCCAGCTCTTATTAAAAAAACACTACTACCACTCCGAATCTTTTTTTTTTTTGCCAGGTGATTTATTATTGTGTTAGAAGACTAATACTCAATCAATATTTTGCTGCTGCTTCACATATACTTTTAATGAAGTCAAAAAACGGAACTGCTCGAAACCAAAACCGAAACTGGACTTGGGAGGAAGAAGAGATGTGGAGGAGGAGAGTGTTGCCAGAAGTCACATAGCTACACCCAACCGCATTTTCTTTTTTTTCTTTGTGTTTTTGGGTGTGCAAAGCAGACGAAAAATGCACACATCACACGTCGCATTAAAGATGCAAAAATAAAGCTCTTCAGCTTGACGTTTGCGCATTCTTCAAGCTCTTAGCAATTTGTGTTTCTAAGACGAGCAATGTCTTCAGCCGGAAAAAGGGGCGACAACTTGGCGACATCTTTGTGCTAATCAACTTGGTGGTCGAGCATGTGGTACAGAATAATTGTTTTGATGAATAAAATATTTCACTTTCGAAGCTAGACAGATTTTACGGTACCACAAACAACCGTTCTGAAGTAAAGGTTTCATGCCCGTCGTCCGCCGCCATCGCTTAGTCTGCTTCGTTGAGCCATCCCGGCCGCGACTCCCGTGATGCGACTTAGACAGAGAATGCATAGTTTGCTTCCGGTTCTTTGTGTAACTTTTTTTGTTTTTCAATCAGCGCATTTTCAATTGTTTAGAAGTGACCAAAAATTGGTACCAGATTTTTTTCTATTTTTAATATTGAGCGTGTGCCTTCAATGACCCACGACTTTGATTATTTTTGTGTGTGTGTCTAAACCATTGAAAACAGCATGTGACCACAAAGAAGAACGTAAGCATGATTAAAACCGGCCAGTTCTCGATCGGCGGTTTTCGGGCAGAAAGAAAACTAATTTCGAGCTGTAAATTATGTTCTGGGTAGTTGGGCTTTCATATGTCATGTGCAAATAAAAACCTTGGCGAGCATAAATTTCCTGTCAGTGTCCTTTTAACTCTTTGTTGATGAATGTTGCCAGAGACAAACAAATTACGTAATAATTTTTGTTTGTTCTTTGATTTGATTTTGTTTAACATTAATATCTTAAAAAATAAATGATTTAAGCAGTTTTTGTACATCTCTTCAATAAAGCACCAGATGACTCCAGTCCAGAGGTGTGGCAGAACCCATAATTTTTAAATAAACGTTTTCTGATCTGATTTGTTTGTCAATAAAGGGTTCAGGCCTCTTCACAGACTTGCGTTTGACGCCGTTTGACTGGGACTAGGCCGGTTTCTAAGCCTTTTGTGAGGGCTTGCAACCGGATGTGCAGCAATGCAGCCGGTCGTAAGCCCTCACAAAAGGCTTAAAAACCGGTCCTGTCTCAGTTGGTTGTAGTCAATTGCAAGTGTGTGAACTTTAGGAGGAAGAATTCATTAAGGGGACATGTGTCAGGGGAAAATTGTTTTTCATTATTTGAGATAATTGAAATACTATTTCACAGCTCATAATGCGTGATCTCCTTTTTATAAAGGGGTGTTGGATATAGCTTGTTTTTTACCTTCTGCATGCACTGCACATGCCGAAAAAGACCATGTTATTGCAGGCACATGGGACATGGCAACACACTTAAAAGAACCTAGTAAAATAAGCTAATTTGCTGCTTTCAAACTACTCAGTGCAATGAACACCAAAAATAATGAGTGAGACCTAGTTTATATTGAAACAATTGAAAATTGCAAAAGCACCATTTTCAAAGCGCTAACAAAAGTTTCTTACATTTTGTATAAATATGAAAAATATACACTCTAACCAAACCTTGATAGTTGCATGCTTCTTTGCCTAAAGTGTATGCATGCAATATTTGGTTGTGGTAAACGGTATTAAGAACAAAAATTATTTTGTGCAAACTGTGAAGATTCCTCAAAATTACAGAAAGAGCAAAATGTGTTTGAGTATCACCATAGGTGTAAAACAACACTCTTTTGAGGTGGGAAAAAAAATGTTTGTTAATATCATTTGTGAGAAATTGAAGCTACAGAAGACTGTGATGGAGAAAGGATGGCTAGGGCCTACTTCTCAACATAAATGTGATGACGGGCGACATTGCAATTTGAAGAACCACCCAAATGAAAATGGCACAAATTTATGCCATTCTGGGTTGCCAAGAGTTCTTCAAATGCAAATTCAACATAAAGATTCAGTAATGATACCCGAAATAACATTTTTTTGCTAAATTGTGCTGCTTTACGACTCATATCTACGGATGTTCTCAGAAGTAGGTAGTATGCAATTATTTTATTTAGCTTGAGGTATTTCTTGGTTTTTGGATCACATCTGCCTGAATGTGTCTCAAGTTTCAGCATTACAAGTGAGAAATAGGCCTCCCAAAGTGGAACATCATTGTTCTTCATTGCCTTGTTTTGGGGCAATAATTGCATTAATTGTTCTCAAATTGTTTTCTAGTTCTCCTCTCTTTTTTAATTTCTTTTTAGCTGTACATTCTGAAGGAGCTTTCTAAACTGCATTTTTGTCCTCATAAGAGCTCCAAGGATGACAGCAACGTGACACTGGTTACTGTTCCAGGGCACGGAGCGGACTGGAGAAGACTGTGGTGACCATCTATGACATCCAGAACAAGTTTGTTGGCAAGTAGTGTGGCTCCTTTTCTCCCCCTCTCTGCTCTTCTATTTGCTTGATTTTCTCTTAATATTTGAGAAAAGCAACTTTGTGTCCCCGGCTTGCCTCTTGGCTCAAACATCTTTCTCATTTTCCTCTCGCTAGCCTACTCGGCGCTGATTCCGGGTGTGGTGGACGTTTTCTTCGAGTGGGGCTCTCTCTTTGTCCTGGTACAAGACGGAAAGGCGAGTGCATTTGAAATTCGCAGCAGTTGTGGGGACAGCCCTTAGCATAACGTCAATGCTGACGTCATGCTGATGACCACACGGTGTTCGCTCGACGTCACCGTTTTAAAGGGATACTACAACGAAATTCTGGCGCTTATTTTTTGGTCTATATGTGTTCAAAGGAGCAGTATCACATCGGACACACCAATATCCTGTTAACAAAGACACGAAAAGGAATTTTAAAACAAATTAAACGATTAGCAAAGAGCACCTGGTGGATGTCGCTAACGTCTCGTTTGTAATAACCGTCTAGGAACCTGGGCAGATAGTGACAACGTTTGTCTCGCCTCCGGCCACCATGAGAGAAGAGGCGGAAGGAGGAACTACCCTCTCCCCGAGAATCTTTTTTTAGTGTCCCAAAAGTTGTTTTGTCCTTCTACAAGATTATAGAAGATAGAACACAATGGGTATATTTCAAATTTCATTGAAGTATCCCTTTAAAAGGTTCACCGTGACGTCCTCGTGTTTTGATGTTTCCTATTATGGTTGTTGTTCTGTCATTTTTAGATAATTTTTAGTTATATTTTTAGACTATGTGCACTTCTGTTTTTTGCACGTGCATTGAACTGCCTCGCTTGTGTGGAACGCTTGCACCAGATGTACTGCCTACAAGAGAAGGACACCCAGAGCAAGCTGGAGGTGCTGTTCAAGAAGAACCAGTACTCGCTCGCAATCAGGTCTGTGCGACAGTTTTAAGCTCGCACTAGTCGGTTCAGTTGGTGGTGGGTGACCTTGGTCGCTTGTTCGTTTTTCTCGTAGCTTGGCCAAGAGTCAGCAGTACGACGAAGACGGTCTGATTGACATCTTTCGCCAGTACGGAGACCACCTGTACAGGTATGAGTTACAAATGGGAATGTGCTTTTTATTCAAACCTTGAATACTACCAGTTGAATATGGGCTTTGGTATTGGATATGACTTGCGCTGCATTTTTACTATTGAATATAATTTTTAAGTTATCGTATTTTTTGGGCTATAGTCTGCCACCTATAATGTCTAAAAGTTGGAGTTTTATGTGATGCGAACCATCTGCAGGCATGGATTTCATATGAATTTGTTTTTTCTACGGTGTTTAATACTACGACATGTAGGGTGACCAAACGTCCCGTTTTAGCCAGGACAGTCCCGCTTTAGATGCACATTTCTGCCGTCCCGTAACTTATTTCCTCAATGAAGCCTCACGTCCCATTTTCGTGAGAACATGCGAAACGAGTGCCAAGCGAGTGGGAAAAATCCAAAAAGAACACATAATACATTTTATAAAATTAACATAAAAATGTTACCTCCCACAGGGTAAATTTAGAGCTGTTTCTGTGGTTCCACCTGTCAATACGTTCTGTTTGCACAGATGTTTGTTCAGGGGCACTTTTCGATATAACCACATTTGACATGCTTTGGTTTTGTTTAAAAATGAAGACGAAAGGTGCGTGGGTACTACTCGTCTAAATGATGAACTTCAGAACAGTGTTAATTTGTACACTAAATAGTAGCAGAGTTTGCTTTTTTTTGCCTGTTTTCTGCGCTGTAGATAATAGTCACCCTAAACGAGACGTGATGGATTTTGTGTATGATGGGAGTATGTTCATAATAATTTCCTAATGATACAAGCTTGTATCATAGGCTTTTTATGATACAAGCTTGTATCATAAGCTTGTATTCATTAATTTAGTGACGTGAGAGAAGGTTGAGTCACACTAAGCTGGTGTAATATAAATTTTCTTGTGCTTTTTCTTATTTTTTGCTCTGCTTTGCTCTAGTCATGACATGCATCCATTGGTTCTTCTGTCTATAATGCTTAACAGCTTCATTTTTAGTTTTGGTCGCTCGTGGTCTGCTTGCTGAAATGGCCTCTTTGCTGCCAAATCCCAGCTTGCTAAACCTTGTACAGTCAAGCCGGTTATGTCACAGTTGGGTAATTCAAGATATTGTTTATGTCGAACAGTCCAAACATCTTCTTGAAAATCACATGTAATAATATGGGAGCGTTGTTTTTCTGTATCAAACTCTCATGGTGGGAACTCTTGATATAGCAAACTAAGGAGGGCCGCCCATCGTCGCTTCTTCCGCGGTTGGAAAAAGGTGGAGGCTAGCAAAAGCAAGGGGAAGGGTGCACACTTGCACGTAGAGGGGGCAGGGAGTGCCTGCTGTTGGAACGGTAGCGTGCGCTCTTTCCAACGCTGCTGTCGCTGCACAACCCTTTAACCTCAAATTAAGCAAAAAAAAAAAAAAAGTCCGTTAAGTTTGGTGTGTTGACAACAACGGTTGAGCAATCACACTTTGAACACCTTGCCTTTGTTTACCTTTTTTTTTCGCCGTTTTTGCTTTGCCCGTTTTAATGCGAAAGCATAGACTGGGTCTCATGGAGCGAGCTGACGTCATCAGTTTGAAGCGCGAAAACGGTACCTAGTTTCCTTTGGTTCTATTGGCTGGCGCACATCGACGAGGCTCCCATTGGCCGCTAAGCTCTTCAGTTTCCCTGACCGCTCACCACAGGCCGCTGCGTGTCCATCAGCGCAGCGTTAGCACGGAGAGTTTAAGGTCACCAGAGTAGCACACGCGCTGACCGGCGACGAAAAGTATGCAGCGGATGGAAAAGGGAGCGGACGAGCGGCTTGCAGGTTTGCGCATTCACAACTCGTAAGGAATGCTTAGGTGTACCTCAATCTTTTTTCTTTCTTTTTTTGCCTTTCTTTTTTGCTGCCTGAATTTAGTGAGGTTTCTTTTTTGTTGCTTGCTTAACTTTATTCTATAGATAAAGTTTTTTTAAATCTTATTTTTATGCTTTTTTTTTGTGTGTTTTGTTGTTCACGTTGTGTGGACGTTGGGGCCAGGCGCAAACGATCGCAAACACCGTGGTGTAAATGCAGCAGTGTTTGTGATCTTCACCAGCTAAGCTCTACTGTATTTAGCGGCTCTTAGAGGCTCTATCTAGTAAGGTCCCGTTTTTCGCAGCCTTCGGTATTAGCAGAGGCATGTGGAAATTTCAACTAGAGCTTTAGTTGACATATTTTTGTTTATCAAATTATCTATATATCAAACTATTCTTTGATCCCCTTTGAATTTTATATAGTCGGGTTTGACTGTATTGTCTTCCTGTTGGCAGCAAAGGAGACCACGAGGGTGCTGTGCAGATGTACATAAAGACAATTGGCAAGCTGGAGGCCTCTTACGTCATTCGCAAGGTGAGGGCAGGGTTTGTGACATTTTGGATTGAAATTTTTTGTGGATGGACCCTCGTAACTTCATCTCTCATCAGGACCGGTTTGCTGGTGAATGCGGGTGCCCCTCCCGAAAGGAAGTTTAAAATGGCCGTATATGGCACCCAACATATCTTATGTATACCATATTTACATGAGAAAGGCAATTGTAGTGAACATCTCTCGATCTAGCCATCGGGCCGCTTGGTCGCCAAGTCTTGATGCTCGTGGTGTCTCGTTCTGTCTAGAGCACTATATAGCTCCTACGGAGCAGAGTAGCGCAATCCTTTGAACCCCGTGTTTTGCCAACAACATGGTCGACAGAGCGGCTCGGCGCGAGTCACGTGGTACTCAGGGTTCCAGGAGGCGGACCGCCCTATGGGAGAATACATGGAGACCGACACAACACGGCTGATTAAAAAACGAACGACGAGTTCACACTTTTCAAAACTAGTCTGTTGTGAAGTTAGTGAAGCACTAAACACTTTATCAAAGTCTTAATAATATCGGATGCGTGTGTAAATTTTGAGAAGACAATTTCCAAGGCAATGGCGTTTGAAGCAGACGATTTTTGCTCGCAGTGGAGATGGGCTTTTCGGGTTGGCCGGAGCGGGTCACATGAATGGTGTGACGTCGCCGCATCGTCTGCTGCATGATGCTGCTGAGGCAATTTTTAAAAAAAAGTTACGTCCTTGCGTGGTACAAAACTTAGCGCAAATTATTCTAGAATGTTCCATTATTATGTCAAAAACAATTGCCATTCCGTACAGCCCCACAATACTGAAGAAACAACGATTTTCTCACGTTCTCCATGCATTTCTGACCGCAGTTGGAACCTCCGCGGGCGTTCGCCGCTAGTCGCCGAGAGACGGCGTTCTAGATTGCGTTACTCTGCTCCGAAGGAGCTATATAGTGCTCTAGTTCTGTCTGCTCGCGCCGACAGGCTTCTTTCTTATCGTTCCGATAGCACCACTAGCTCGGCTGCGACAGATATTTTGAGGTCACGTGACGGTTCCGCAGGGAGAAATCAACCAGTATTTCAGCTGATTTGGCTCAGCAGATGCAAGCTCGTGTCGTTTTCTTTAATTCTCGCTTAACGCGACCTTCCCAAGAAGTAACTTTATATGCCGCTCCTAAAGCAGGCAAATGCGATTCATTTCACTTACATTTCAAGCCTGTTCGCCCTTTTTTTCTGTGCACGAAATGAAACTTAAAGGGATACTTCAACGAAATTTGAAATATTCCCGTCGTGTTCAAAAATAGGTTGAATATGATCCACAATATCCGTAAATGACAATCGCACGTTTGTATTTTGATCCTGGTGGCTGTATTTTTCGTTATAAATGGCCCACTCTGGCAAGCGCTCGGAGAAGGCCCAGCTTAGAGCACGTGACATCCAACGCAATCGTGACGTAGGTCGTCTCAAGACGAGCAAAGCTACGGCGAGGTTGACGTAGAGAGGTTGGCCTAGTCGTTCCAGCCACCGAAGCGGCTGCTTTTGTACGAATTTTGAGTGACGGGTTAATCTTCTATAATCTTCTAGGGGGACAATAGCGACTTCTGCGACACACAAAAGGGATTCTCGGGAAGAGGGGAGTTCCTCCTTTCCCCCTTCTCTCGTCGTGGCCGAAGACGAGACAACCTTCGTCACTAGCTGTCAAGGTTCCTAGACGAGCATTACAAACGAGGCGTTAGCGACATCCACCAGGTGCTTTTTGCTAATCGTTTAATTCGTTTTATAATTCTTTTTTGAGACTTTTTTAACAAGATATTGGTATGTTCCATGTGATACTGCTCTTTTGAACACATATAGACCAAAAAAATGAGCACCGAAATTTTGTTGTAGTATCCCTTTAAATAATGAAAGCTAGGATGGACTTAGAGCAGCTAGTTGCCTGGAATGCTAGGTAACTTTAGTTTCTTATCTCCACGGAGCCAGTCACGTGATCTCAAAATACTCGCATTCACCAGTGAACCAGCCCAGGGGATAAATCTTGTAGGAACGTATAGTACAGTATCCTTCACTTCTTGAAGGGGGGGTGCAACGATTTCCGGACTTCGGTCATACATTTGTGGAAGTTGCCCTCTGACATTTCTGAAGTGAAGGAAAGGAAACCGATTTTGCCTGCGTGTCCTAGTTGTTGTGTAAAAAAATATAAATATTGGCATTTCTGGCACCCGTCAACTCACTCCCAGTCTTCAGAGTCACATCTGGTCCCCCTCCTAGTGACGTTATTCAGATGCCGTGTAGGTTCCCGTGTGCTCTCTCGGAGGACGCTTCCTCTCCCTCTCTCTGCTGCCATTAGCGGGCGTTATGCTGCAGCTTAGAGCCGAGTAAGGTCACGTAATCTTTTCGCCATAGTTCCTCCGGCTGCCACTTGCGGCTTCAGGTGGGGGAAAAAGCTCGACTTTTGCTTTGCGATTATGCAGCGGAATCGTGACATTTTTTAATGAAGATGTTTTCCTCTGGGACACAATAAATGATGTAAAAATGACGAGATGCAAATTCTTTTAATCTTAAAATTGTTGCACGACCCCTTTAAAGGGGTACGGAAACAAAAATTGAAATATTCAAATTTCGTTCAGAAATGAGTCAAGTATGACAGATAATAACCGTAAACGATAATCGCACGTTTGTATTTTGAACGACTGGCTATATTTTTTGTTCCAAACTGTGCACTCGAGCAAGAGCTCGAAGGGAAGCGAACGGAGAGCGCGATGCGTCATGAGATATCCGGCACCAGCAAAAACAGAAAAAAAAGATTTCCCGCGTTTGTGGAGTAGCAAGGCAGGCGTGATTATGAGCTTTGCCCTTGGTGGCGTTGTCAGCATTGTGGTGGTGTCAATAGCGTCAGTGCGTTACAACCGAGCCGTTCGAAGTCCCGTGGGGTGACGAGCGTGTTGCTGGCCCAAGGAGCACGTAGCTTCCACAACACTGTCAGCTTAGGGCTGAATGGGGTGGGGAAAGCAACTTTTGTTTGAGTTTTGAGCGACGGGCTAATCTTCTAAAGGGAGAATGACTGTTTCCGGTTGCACGAACGAGGGTCCGAGAAAGAGGGGAGTCCTTTCTGTTCGTCTTCTTGGACCATTTGGTACATTGCGCGATTTGTGAGTTGAGCTAGGAGGAAAGCAAAGAAGAAAAATGTTGAAATTCCAAAGGGCGGCGCTGCTCCAAAGGAATCTGCTACGTCACGACTACGTAGCAGATTCCACAATGTTGCTAGACTACCTCCCAAATAGGCTCCGCATGCATCCACCAAGTGCACATTGAAAAATTATTTATTTAGCTTTAAAATTAATTTTCTTGTGCCTTTCAACGGAAGACTGGTGTTTTTGAGGTTAGGGTGCAACATGCAACACATTCAAGCTAGAAAATGAGCGCTGAAATTTCGTTTCCCTACTCCTTTAAGGTGGTTGAAATGGTTGAAAAATGTGAAATTTCACGTTTTTCAAAACCAACATTTTTGGATTAAATATAGTCTAAGGTACCTGCCTGCAAAGTTTCAATGTCAAATTCAATATCTAAGCATGAAAAAAATTATAATTACGATGCCTCCACAGAGCCCTAACATAGCAAGTTCAATGAAAACAAGTGGAACTTTGCGCCTCGCGCGTTTCGCAATCGCTCGTCGGATTGCGGCCACCTTGGTCTTGTTGGAAAGCCGCTTATTTTCCCTACGTCCCCATGCCATTCGTTATCGCGACAACATCGGGGAATGTCCGCATTCCGTGGGTTTCAGAGGCCCCAATCGCGATCACTCATTGGCCGGCTAGCAAGGTGCCCGTACGTCAGACCACGTGCGGCGCCTAGCGCCCCTGCTATTGTCCGAAACGCGCCCCTCCGCTCTTTTTCTCCTTTCCTCCTTTCCGTTCCCGCGCTGGCGAAAGGTGCGCCGTCTGCTCCCGGGCCTGTCTCCTTACGTCCTTAGGCCTGTCTGCTTTGTTTTTTCCGTGGGCGAGCACACGATTTAGTTCCCGTTTGCGCGCTTGCGTTGAACATTGTTAGTTCGTTTTGCTACGAAGTTGCGCGTTTGTTTTGCTTTGAGTTCTCGAGGTGCCAGACGACGCTCGGTTGCAATCGAGCACGCGGCAAGCTTTCTGAAGGAAGACGAAAGCTTGCCAGATTACGACAACGGCGACTTGTGCATGGTATTTATTTTTGTGTATTGGCGTGCGTTTCATAAAATTGGTTCTATGAGGTACGTGTTCAAAGTCCATTATTTTACCTGCGTGGTAGAATCGGCAGCAATTAAATTTTTTAATATCTGGGAGATAAATTTGCCTGCGTGTAAGAATCGGGCGTGCGTTAGAATCGTGCAAGCACGGTACTTTATCCAACACTGGCATTTATAGTACTATGTATTTTTGTACCAATAAATAGAGTGTAAGCCTTTTTTTAAAAGTGGGGAGGAAAGGCTTGGCAAGCGAGAACCCATTCCAAAGGAACACACTTGGGAAAGGAGGACAGTGACTCTGATGCTTCTTGTCGTTCTTGTTCCCTATGCAGTTTCTGGATGCACAGCGCATCAACAACCTGACGGAGTACCTGCAAGAGTTGCACAGGAAGGGCGCAGCCTCTGAGGACCACACCACCCTGCTCCTCAACTGCTACATCAGGCTGGACGAGAACGACAAGCTCACGCAGTTTATCATGGTGGGTGCAATTCTGCAACCTTGAGTTCTCACGCCCCCGCAGGGGGCACCTGTGAAAGCAGGTGTTTGGAGAGTGGCGTCTCCACGGACCCCGAGCCATGCGGGTTCGCCCGCCCACGTCTGGCTGTGCGTGGCTTTCCCGTGTCCGAAGAAAAGGGCATCCTGGTGGTTGAGCCGATCCCGGGGTAGGTTTGGACCCTTCGGGGCCCCCCGGGTGAGGCAATACACCACTTCGGCCCCTGCTTCTCGTAGACGGGAGTCCTGGTAAGGCCCGGCCAGGATGATTCAGTCTAGTCGCCTTTTCTTCTACTATCCCCTCCGATCTTTCACTTTTACCTGTCCTGTTTCCTTCTTTTCCTTCTCATTTCTCTTGCTCCTTTTTCTTCCCTCTTTGGCGGCAAGGGCTAACCTTGGGTGGCAATAGACCTCTTGTCTGGACCCACACTAGGTTATAGTGTCTTGGTAGCACTGATAGCGTAATGTCGTCAGCAAAACCCTTATTGCTATGGCGCATTACCTATCCCCATGTTGGGCTCCGTGGTGGGTGGTGCGCTACAGATGCCGAACGCCTTCCCATTTCTTATGGGTTCTAAACTAAACCAAAAACCTGATCGGGCCCTGAAAAGGGTCCGGACCGAAGTACACGTCAGAGAAGCATTTGCACCCGTGGAGAAGTTTCCCCGATTTCTCGTCATGCATTCCGAAACGGAAAAACCTTTATCCAAGTTATCCCCGTTCCTGGTCTCTAAGACTCTTGAATCTGTAATCGGAAAAAATTTTAAAGCAAAAAAAATGCCATCTGGAGATCTCCTCGTTGAAGTTGTAACCGCTCAACAAAGCTTAGACCTGCTGGCACTCAACGTGGTGTCTGACTACAGGGTTACTGTATCACCCCACCGCACTTTGAACACTATAAAAGGCGTAATATCAGAAGATGACCTGCTAGAATCCCCCGAAGATGAAATTGTCGATGGCCTTCATGACCAAGGAGTCATTGCTGCCAAACGAATTTCTTTTCGACGGGACGGCCAAGAGGTGAAGACAAAGCATGTCATTCTGACTTTTGAGCTGAGGGCGCTTCCGGAATCAGTGAAAGCCGGATATCTGAACTGTAGAGTACGGCCATATGTGCCAAACCCTCAGCGTTGCTTTCATTGCCAGAGATATGGCCATAGCGCCCAGAGCTGCCGTGGGAAGACAACATGTGCCAAGTGTGGCAAAAATGATCACCCTGCAGAGAATTGCTCTAATGCACCTTGCTGTATCAACTGTGGTGAACCTCACCCTGCTTATTCCCGATCGTGCAAAAAATGGAAACAAGAAAAAGAAATTATAACACTCAAAGTGAAAGAGAACATCTCATTCCCCGAAGCCAGGAAGCGATTCTCCTTCCTGCAGAAGGGTTCTTACTCTTTGGTGGCACGTGCAGGGGGTGTGCCATCAAAGTCTTCGGTAGGAATCCAGGTCTGTCCTAATGACCTGGTGATTCCACCACCTCCCCCTGCCTCACAAAGATTCGCTCCACGACTCCGTTTGTCGTTGGAACCGAAGAAACCACAGGGGCCTCCAGATGGTGCAGAGGCAAGAGATGCCTCTGTGCCAATGGATGGGAGACAAGAGGAGAGGCGGCAACACCAGCCTCAGGGAGAAGGCACTAGTGCCTCTTCCATTCTAAAGGACGGGCCATCGAACGATGTGCCTGCCTTGGTCACTCGGACCCCTCCCAAGAAGAAGGAGGGTAGTTTTCGTTTTAAGGCTTTAGGAGAGGCCTCGACATGTAAGGAGGTGCCCGTACCAGCTGCTCCCTCAGCCGTTCCGCCTGAGGAGGAGCGGATGGAACTTGGTGAACCTCCTCCCCCTTGTTCGGTCCCACCTGATGACGCAAGGCTTATTAAAAAGTCATCCCAGAAAAAGCTCAATCCGCGAGTAACCCCACCCAAACCGCCCCAGGGCACTTAGGGCAGGTTTCCTTTTTTCTTGTGTTGTTACTTTAAACCGTTTTTAACATGAACTCATATAGTTTTATACAGTGGAACTGTAGAAGTCTTCTGCAAAATATTGATGACATTCATTTCTTTCTGGATGAGCTACAGCCCATTGCTGTGTGCTTGCAGGAGACATATCTTAACAACACCCATACAAATGTTTTTAATCGTCGCCGCGTTTTTAGAAAGGATCGGGATTCAGACCACTCTTCAGGTGGTGTTGCCATTGTTGTACGGAGTGGCATAGCATGTGTGGAAGTTCCTTTGCGTACATCACTAGAAGCTGTTGCGGTACGTGTTCTTGCTGATCGTCTCATTACGGTTGTGTCCTTGTATTTGCCACCTCATCGTCAACTGCATCTTCATGAACTTCAAGGATTGGTTCAGCAACTCCCAACGCCTTTTTTAATTTGTGGTGATTTTAATGCTCACAGTCCCATGTGGGGCAGTAAGCGCCTTGACTCTCGTGGCGCTGTTGTAGAAAGATTTTTATTGTCCTCAGACGTATGTCTTTTAAATAAGAAAGAACCAACGTTTTATAGTTCCACTCATAATTGCTTCACATCCATCGACCTCTCCATTTCATCACCTTCATTACTTCCCTGCTTTTCTTGGAAGGTTTTAAAGAACCCTTTTGGGAGTGATCATTTCCCGGTTGTAATTGAAAGCCTCGTTCCTCTGCCGTCTATTTTAAAACGAACCCCTAGGTGGAAACTGGACAAAGCCGACTGGGCACTCTTTAAACTTGATGCAGTGCTTGACCTGTCAGTTCTAGCAAATTTGTCACCTGAAGAAGCGACAGTGTATGTTACGGAGCAAATCATAAGTGCCGCCCAAGACGCCATTCCTCGCACCTCCGAAAATTTACCCAAGAGGTGTAGGCCTTGGTGGAATGAAGACTGTGCCACCGCAAGGAAAAAGCAGCATAGGGCATGGGACACCTTTCGGAGGTACCCTACTCCTTCAAATAAGATAGAATTTAAAAGACTAAAAGCAAAGGCCCGATGGACTATGAGAAAAGCTAAGTGGAAGTCCTGGACCAGGTATATTTCCTCCCTAAATAGTTTTGTCTCAGAGAAGGAAGTTTGGGATAGGTACAAAAAAATCAAAGGGGATTACCGTTGCTTTGTTGTTCCTCTATTTAGCTCCCCTGCTAACTCGCTGAAAGATGTTGCTAATGTGCTTGGACAGCACTTCGAGAATGTTTCCAGCTCCCGAAATTATCGGACGGAATTTAAACGTTTTAAAGCAAATGCAGAATGTCACCGTATACCCATGTCCGGTTGTAGCTCTGAGCCATACAACACTCCTTTTACAATGCAAGAACTAGAGGTGGCTCTGGGCTCCAAGAAGAGGTCGGCTCCGGGCCCTGATGGAATCCACTATGAAATGCGCCGTCAACTGTCTCGAGAATCGCTCAACACACTACTAGATTTTTTTAACTATCTGTGGGAAGCAGGCTACTTTCCTCAAATGTGGAAACAGGCGCATGTAATTCCTTTGCTGAAAGCTGGGAAGGACCCTTCGGACCCCCGTAGTTATCGTCCAATCGCGTTAACGAGTTGCCTTGGCAAAACCTTTGAACGCCTCATTAATAGGCGGTTAATTTATATTTTGGAGCATAACCACTTCTTTGCTAATAACCAATGTGGTTTTCGAGAAGGGCGCTCTACTTTGGACCACATAGTCCGCCTGGAAACAACAATACGTGAAGCTTTCATAAATAGGCAACATTGTGTCTCTGTTTTCTTCGACCTGGAGAAAGCATATGATACGACATGGCGGTATGGTATCCTTCATGATTTATATGCCTCTGGGGTGCGTGGTCGCATGTTGCGGTGTATAAGCAGTTTTCTGACAGGTCGCTCCTTTCAAGTTCGACTCGGCACCACACTATCCGACCAGTATGTCCAGGAAAATGGTGTTCCGCAAGGAGGTGTACTGAGTGTCTCCTTGTTTGCCGTAAAGATAAACTCGTTGTCAAAGGTAATTCCACCTTCCGTTTCATACTCCCTCTACGTGGATGATATTCACATCTCGGCCTCTTCTTGTAATTTGTCTAGCTGTGAGCGGCAACTGCAGCTTACCATCAACAGAATTAGTAAGTGGGCTGACGAAAATGGGTTTAAGTTTTCAGCTGAGAAGACTATCTGCGTGCCATTTTCTCTGCGTCGGGGGCTGTTTCTAGATCCAGAACTGACACTAAACAGGGTTCCTATTAGTGTAAAAACGGAGCATAAATTTTTGGGCATAACGTTTGATAAAAAGTTAAACTTCGTTTCCCACCTGAAGAACCTGAAGAAGAAGTGCCTTAAATCAGCTAATATTCTTAAAGTCTTAGCGCACAAGTCATGGGGATCCGACAGAATATGTCTGCTACGCCTGTACAACTCCCTTATCCGGTCACGTCTGGACTATGGTGCTATAGTTTACGACTCAGCGAGGCCTTCTGCACTTAAAATGTTGGATCCTGTGCATCATCTCGGTTTAAGGCTCGCTACAGGTGCCTTCCGCACATCGCCCATTCCTAGCTTGTACGCTGAATCTAATCAGATGTCACTTAGGCACAGACGACGTTATCTTGCTGTGACTTATGCTTCCAGAATTTTGTCCTATCCAAATCACCCAACTTATGGTGCCTTGCAACATTCTCGGTTTGCTCGTCTTTTCGAACATAAGCCCAGGGTTGTACCGCCTTTAAGTCTTCGCCTTGAGGGCATTTGTACATCTCTTGACCTCACCCTTGACGAGACCGACCTTTTGCAGAAGGGTGAAAATGAAGCTCCGTGGAGTACGTTGCCCGTCTTTTGTGATTGGTATTTTACTAGATTTAACAAACGTAACGTCCCCCCTGTGGTGATTCAACAAGAATTTCTTGAGGTGCAGAAGAAGTATGATAACTACTCCCAATTTTATACCGATGGTGCTAAATCATCGCATTTTGTAGGATCAGCAGTTTACTCTGAAGGTTTCAGTAAGGTTCAGCGTCTCAAGGAATGTGCAAGTATTTACACGG